GAAAAGGCTCTGGCCGGAGGGCGCGTCTGCACCAGTTGCTGAAGTGATTTTGAATCCGCGATGAAGTGGGTCTCGCGGATACGCTTGAGGTCCGCTAGACTGCGCACAGCCTTCAGAGCTTCCAAATGACGATCAGCTTGGCATGGGGGCCCCTGAGATTTGCGGAGGATACCCCCACCCCCCCCCCCCCGCCCGCCCCCCGGCATGTCGTCGATTTCGCTCAAACTTTCCGTAATCTCTGGGCATTCATTGCGCGTGCTTTGACTTGTCCCTAGCAACTCTGCTTTCTGCTCACCTCCTGAATTTTAGGAACGCTGCACGGCGATCCACGACCGGCGCGGGCGACGGGCGGTAATCGCCGATGGCACTGGACGCGCGCGGCGTGCCGACACCTTAACAGAAATGTTTCACATTTGAATGCATTGAAGCAAGCATCAGATGTTATGAAATAAGTCCATTTTAACTGATGGTAAACTTCTTAGTAGAAAAGACTGCCCTAGACACCACAGTTTCTTTGTTTAGTAAATATTCTCCTCGATGCGTTATTGTTTGACCACGTCACGATGCCTGCACAACATTGATCGAGAGCAATTGACGGCTGTTATGTCTGGAAATGGTGCTCACGAACACCAGATATGAACGACTCGACAATTAGATTTGTCATGGCCTTGATTGCCTCGTGGCCAATGGAATGCTAGCATTTAAATGACATCATTAGTCCATCATGGATGCCTGGTTATCTTGAAATAGTCCCCCTCCCGAAATATTTCGCACATTTTCGCGAGCGTGTAGCTCAGAAACTAAACGAGTTTGGGTCTTAAAAAGGGTGGGTTGTGAACTGCGCGGAATGATCTTGAAGATCGCTATTTCAGTTAAGACCCATACAAATGTGGGACACTCCCTCTAAATGGAATATTCCACAGCTGAAGATAGCTAACCAAGCATGGTATATGATGAAATATATTTAATTGTAACCATTGATATGCTTTTAGGTGGAAAGGACTGCTGTAGATAACACAGATCACTGTTTAGTAAACTTACTTCTCAATAGTCACGGCATTGTTCGATTTCGTCATCGTATCTAGCATTAAATTGATTGAGAGCCAATTGAGAGTCGTTATATCCAAAAATCATATTCACGAACGCCACATATGAATGACTCGACAATTATGTTTTTATTGGCCTTTATTGCCTCATGCCTTATGGATTTGCGGAATTTGAATTACGCCATTACGGCCTCATGAATGTCTGGGCGACCTGGAAATAGTCTCCCCCAAGTGGTAGTCTGCACATCTTCGCTCGCGTGTAGCTCAAAAAGTAGAGAAATTTAGGTCTTAACAAGGGCAGGTCCATGAAACGCACCGAGCTATCTTAGAAATCTCTATTCCAGTCCAAAATCCCAAAACAAATGTGGAATACTCCCTTTAACGGATCCCTTCATCATAAATACGTATATAAACATGGCTGTTCAAGTTCCGTGTCTCTACGGGGAATGATGTCTTGCGTAAGTTCCTTTTAAGTTCAGAGCTCGACTTTCAGGAACGTTTGACCTTTGACCTGGCCTAGAAGGGGGCGATGATTAACCTAGGAACGTGCAACACATTGCTTACTGCAACGTAATGTTGAGGCCCATCTGTTTTGTTTTTTTTACAAGCCCTTTCTTTCTTGGTTTGGAAGCGACAGAGGGGTCGCATCGGCCTTCCTTCCTCCGACCGCTCCCCATCAGTCCTCGTTATTGAAAATAGCGTATCAGGGAAAAGATTAACCACCTTGCAGCCCGACGCTACTGCTCTCCAGCCCTGCGCTGGACACGCGGCACGCTCCTGTGCCCGACACGCGGCCGCTCCAGTGCCGAACGTGCACCCACCCTAGTGCCGAACACGCACCCACTCCAGTGCCGGACATGCGACCTCTCCTGTGCTGGACTCGCGGTAGCCTCAATGCCGAACGTGTGCCCACGCGTGCGCTGGACAGTTGCTCCTGTGCTGGCACGCAGCCTCTCCGTGACCGCACACACAGCTGCCCTAGTGCACGAGGGCTGCTGCTGTGCCGGTATGCGGCCTCTCCTGTGTCGTAGACGTGGCCAGTCCAGTACCGGAAACGCGACCTTTTTTGTACCGGACAGCCGCTCCCGTGCCGGACACGTGGCCCCTCCTGTGTTGGACACCTGGCCGCTGCTGCGCCGGACATTCGACAGTCGTGTGTTCAAAAAAGTGACGAAATAGTGTTCGAAATAGCGACGCCATAGTGAGTGGCGCACCGCCGCTGCAATAAAATACTGACACCGCATACTCATATAGCACGCATGGCACGCCCATGGCACTCCCGCTATAATGCAGAGCAATATAATGACACGGCGCGGTTTAATGCAACAAGTATTTCACGGGTTGCTCTAATTTGTTCACGAGTTCGTGATATGGGATCCCAGGTCCGCAGCTGGAACATGTGATGTGTTGTGTGAGTATACCCATAACAGGATGGCGGCCAAATGCCGTGGGTAGGTATCATATGTACGCTGCCCAAATGCTATCTTAAAAAGTCGAGATCCTGTTCCACAAGCGATCCTTTAATCAAAATTCTTGCGAAACACTAAGCAAGTTCGTTATATGGCAAGGTAGTCTCGGTTTCCAAAATCTGAAATAAGCAACCAATCTCACGAAACACGGCTCGTTGCGCGGACATTGGCCCACCATCCGTGTAACCTAGACCACGAAATAGGTTATCCAGTGTTGGACTTCTCAGTGGCGGTTCTTGATTGGAATTAAATATTTCCAAATTGCAGATTTCACTGGATTAGAAATCTCAATTTTGGGAGCTATAAATCTTCATTTCAAACCCTACAGTTACGGACACGAGCCAACACAGCAACTGCCAGATTAAGATGATGTAATGTGTAACAGTAAAGAACGTGCAGCCTGATAGCAAAGCTGTGGATAGCGATTTTCATGGATAGATTTAACCCTGCAAAACTGACGTGCTCGTCGGCCGTAGGCCCGCTGGTCGGGTCACTTGTGCGTTAAGATATGCGACCTAGCCATCGATACCTTTTGCATGGCCAGTAAATGATACTTAGTGCAAGTAAAAACCCCGGAACAAAAATACTTGATGTCGTGACGTATTGCATTTCAATTATCTTTTCATCGTGTGGTTTATCGCATTTTGGGTTACATTGCAGCGGTTTTTAACAGACTTGGTTTCAGGTGACAAGTTAGAACGTTACAAGCTTCGTTGGTTACAGAAAAGACATTAATCCACCCCTGGGTACGTATTTAGCCTCAGTCTGCACCCGAACGCGACCCTGAGAGAACGCGGCGGTCACGTGTGCGCCACCCCTCCTTTCCTCCAAAGGCCTTCTGTGATAAACCTTAACGAATAACAAAGAATGTCACTCTGTAATCAGGGAAAACTGCTGTCGTCTTTTCACAATTTCACGTTATAGACCTTGGATATCTATATTATAGCTCAAGCAGGCAAAAACGTCATTGCAAAAGGGGCGAGGGGCCATGCGTTTATTCTTTAAATTGGATTCGTATTTTTGACAGCTCGAAAACAGGTTTTGCAGATTGGTGGCTTAGAATCCAATACGGAGAGCATGGTACTGTTTTCCCCGGTTATTGCCGACCGCTTGCTGCTGTTACTTTGGGTACTCTATCTACGGAACCTGTCCCCCATGCCCTAAAAGGAGTTCGTCTTGTATGTGTATCGCTCTTACTGCTCAAAGTTCGCAGCTCATATACCGTTTGAACGCGTCGTCCTTGGGGCTGGGAGTATTTTGGCTTGGGGCGCAACCTACCTATTCATTTATTTCGATGGACTGTGATCTTTCAGCGACAGGCCCAGCCTAAGCAGGTTGGGAAGCAAAGATAATTTAGTAGGCGACAATCGAGGAGTGGCGCGACGGGGAATCAGAACACAATACTGGCTTATGCTTCAGGTAAGGTTTACTTATACTACAGGTAAGGTTTACTTTAGGCTAATTTAAGGCCAAATTAGGTCAATGAAGGCTAACTCGTTCCTGTCCCCCACCAGCAAAAAAAAAGTGCCTTCGCACATGTGGAGCTGGTACGATAGCAGCAACGATATAACGCGAGCGAACACGATGTTTGGCAGTGCAGAATGCTTGCAAGCGAGCGACGTTGGCCGTCACACCAAGCTGCGGAAGCGCGAGGAAGACAGTGTGGGAGATGTGTAGACAATTAATGCGTCCGAAAGCATGTTTATCAAAGATAACTCGCACCCCGTGGCGCAGCCAAAGAAAAGGCTTTGGGGACATTTTGGACCCCCGGAAAGTAGCAATGGTCCCCTGGGGTAGGAGCCTGCCTGCTCTGACTTATATCTGAGGACCCTGCCCTGTGTCGCGGGGCCCCTGGCGACGACCTTCGGCCAACTCTCCGGGCCCTTGATCATCGCGCCACGGAGGCCAAAAGTGGACAGTTGCCTTCTGTACCGCCCTTCCTGTGCCCTTGATCTCACATATCGCTCACTTGGCATAGCATTCATGCATTTGCGCATTATGGTGGACCTGCGTTTGGAATTTACATTCATCACACCATCAGATGACATTTGTCATAATAAGTTGGTTCAGAGGCGAATTAACGCGCCTCACAGCCCACATTGCGAATGCCTGGCATCGGTGATGATAATTTCTATTAAAGAGCGCACTGGCTCCTTAGGCCGACACCGAAGGTCGTGCATCGACGCCGAAGACCATGCTGCGTGCTGCACTCTATATGCTCACATCATTGCCGACAGAGCCACCTATGCCAAGCTCGAAAAAGCAGGGGATATTTTAGATCGACATAACAAGGTATACATGGCCTTTATTAACTCTGTGATAATTTGAGAAGCCCGATAATAAACTGGAGTATTTTACACCACATTTTCAAACCTGTGAATAGTAGAAATATCACGAAAGGGGTTTTGAAGCCCAAAACAGGAACACAGTCATCGATTTGGAACTGAAACGGGATACCATTACCCAGGATGCATTGCGAGTCCCACCCTTCGGCGTCAGGCGGTCGTCAAGAGCGGCGGTTTCTGTATATTTTCCCCTGTGGTGTGCTACTGGTGCCTGCGATTCATATGGAGTGTGTAGACGTCACCATGGGATGGTGGAATGTGACATAGAGGGCCAATGTCCCCCTTCCAGTATTTGTGTTTGTGGAAACCCTAAAGCAGACAAAATAGGGAATCCAGGCTGCAAGGACACCAGGCCGCGTGAAGCCCGTCCAGGCTTCCTAGCCTACCTTTGCCTGGACTGCAGGCCCTATGACATGGGTTGTTTTGGAAGCGCTGCATCGAAACAAGATGCAGATGAATCCAAAAAACAAAAGGAAAAGAATAAGAAAATTAACCAACAAATACAGAAGGACAAGCAGGTGTACAGAGCCACTCATCGTTTGTTATTGTTAGGTAAGTAACATGTGCTTTCAATGTTTTACTGGATTTCACATGCACAGTGCAATAACTCAGTTTTCAAAGTGGTCATGCTCTCAATATGTAAGATATTTCTGACTTCTCTTGGCTACCTGGTTGTATGCTCCAGCCAGTCATGGGTGTCAGAACATCAAAAAATGTTTTGTTGTGCATGCTTTTGCTTCAGTTTGTGAGTGTTTGCTTTCAGCATGTATGGTTTCAGTGAGAAACCTTGAGTCTTAAATGTATTGCTAATTTTGACGCTTGCTGTGCACGTAAAGTTCATGGTTTAGGATGGTCACAGACAGACCAGTCATGTGTAGGATAGCCAAGGACCAGCCAAAGTGAAAGTTGTTATCCTTTGAGTTTGAAAAACCTGAGCAAACTTTTAATCAGCCATTTTCTTCCACACAATGCCAATGGTATATCTCCATGCTTATTTATTGCTGCATTCCCCACACCGATTGTGATCTGCCCACATTGCCTGTTGTGATACTTGTGGTATTATGACATTTGAATTTGTCATTCAGGCAACATGTGTACTAAATCTTATGTTATTAGAAGGTGAGCCCCACCTTGTTCCCATACATTGTTTTTTTGCACACCACCTTGTTTTTTCACTGCAGTGTGATTGTGGCAGTAGAAAGTAGCATGCAATCACATTGTAGTACCTACGTTGCTGACAAGGTCAATGATAAACCATGATTAAGAAATGCGTGCCTTTTCAGCAGCTGCAGGAACCTCCCAGCATGTTTTTTTCTGACCACAGCTGAGATTAACATGACTGTACCCTGACCACAGGTGGTTGTCATACCTTGACCTACATTCCCTCTACTTCTTGATCTTTTTCAATGCTAGCTGTTTTTTTTCATCTTGGGTTGTTAGGGAGAGAACTGATAGCAGGAATCCTTGGACCATCAGGTCAGATTTTTAAAAGTTATTTGAAGATCACAAAGCACTACCATATATCTGATCAGTACTGATAGCAGCATTTATCATGGCTAATTTTTTTTTTTTTTGGTTTTATGAGCTGGACTCAATGAAAATTTATTTTTCTTTTTATGAAACCCACCACAAATGTTAGGAAGGTGTGCAACCCATTGTATTTAAGAGGCGAATGCTACCATTGCCTTAAACCAGGCCAGGCCAGGAGTGAACATAGCAAGACTGAGCAGGATTGGTGGGATACCTATGTGGATACAGGCCATTTTTATAGCCATAGCCAAGAAAATGTGATGTTACAAAAAAACTGGAAAGTTTGTCATGGCACTTTGATATTTCATGTCTGGATCAGCACAACCTTGTAGTTAAACTCAATTGTGGCTTGTTAACAACAATTCCACCAGAATATGATATTGTGGGCTCACTTGGACTCTTAACCTCCTGTGGTTTAATTTTGCATGATATACATCCAAGGCAAAACTGTACATGTTGTCCATGAAGGTAACCAATGCCAAGGTATTTAGTATCCAAAGATTTTGTAAAATCTGACTGATTGTGTGATTGTGAGACTCATCAGAATATGTGATTGTGGGGTTTGTCACAGCTGTACAGGATTTAAGGTGCGCTGTATCCAAGTATTAAACATTTACACATCTAATCCATGAAGATGACCAAAATACAAGTGATTTTTTCTCCAAATGTGTTGGTAGCATCTGACTGACTGGGATTGTGAGACTCATCAGATTATATGATTGTGGGGTTTATCACAGCCTTAGATGATATGAGATCCACTGTAGCCAAGTGATTAAGCATTTATGCATGTAGTGCATGGGGATGACTGAAAAACAAAAGCTATTTGTTCTCCGAAGGTATTGGTAGGATCTGACTGGCTGGGGATTGTGGGATTCATCAGAATGTATGATTGTGGGATTCATCACAGTGTTGCAGGATTTAATATTCAATGCAGCTGAGTGATTAAGCATTTACAAAGTAAGTATGTTCTAGTTTTGAGGGCTTGATTCATGCAATCCCTCTCCTGTGCACTTTTTGTAAAGCCTGAAAATACTTTTGCATATCATATTACGTGTGGTAGCTGCTCTGACTGAACTCATCACCAGCTAAATTTCAATGTTCCTACACAACTTGAAAGGGGTAGATGCTGTTGTGCCAAAATTGATATTTACATGCTGATTTTAAGGTAGTCAAGTGTTATTCTGGAAGTCAGTAATTTGGTACTTGTTCACTTCTGTGGTTGTATCATTATTTGTTGACCACTGATCCCAAATGCAATTTTGAATACATGTTTGATATTTTGAACAATGTGGCTTGGTTTAATAGTGGCCAAGTCAGCAAAGAACAGTCTTACTATCATTGGAGTCTGAATGTGTAATTGAAGGTAATTGTGTGGCAAAGCTCATATGCCGAGTTATCAAAAGAACATGTCTTAAAGAAGTGTCATTGCAATTTTATGAAGGGCTCAAATGGCTTTGCATAAATATTGTGCTCAATAGTAAACAAGGCAGGATGCTCCTATGGGGGCTACTTTTAGTAGTCACTTGTCTCTATAATACACCTTGACTACAACAAGCTGTATCCAGATGCAGAAGCTCTTGACACCGGAAAGGAAGACAGCCTAATGTAGTTGTGTAAGCCAGAAATGTTCAGATATGAGAGTCAGGATTAGCCATGGAAGCAATATCATATGCATTTTGTACCCATGTTGTGGGTTGATTATCAATATCCACATGCTGTCAAATTTTTGGAGACTTGGAGAATATCGGTCTTGAAAAATTGAGTGTCAACATGTATGTATGTAGCTTCTCAGAACTGATCAGGGATGTCACAGCTTTCACTGCAGTGTAGACATCTTGTTTGCCTCTAACACCGCAGGCTTAAATTCTTTCCCTGTTCAGTTCAATGGATTTGGGGAACTACTGATGAACATACTTTAGCACAGAACTTAGATGGCAGAGTTCAACCTGACAACTTCCTTTATAGGTTGTCCATTTTAGAGTTTTGGGGGAAGAACTTCACATTGTTTCATTTAGTTACCTGAACTGCAACCCCACACCTCATCTCAGCATCTCACCTCGTCTCTTAAAGAAAAGCATTTTTCCCAAATGTTCATGTTTACCAAGGTGTCCAGTTAATTTTTTTAATTGGCATGCTTTGATGTGTGTATAGTCATGTGATCTTAGTGATCTTACCATTTTCAAATTTAATTTCCATGATACATGTTCATGTTGGTTTTTTGAATATTTGGACACTATTTGATGCTACTAGTGTACCAACTACAACTAGTAGTATTGTCACCACTTTGCAACTTATAGACATATGGAGATTTCAAGCTATTTGATATTTCAGATAAAGAAACCGTAATTTTCATGGAGCATGTTCCTGCTGGTTCTTTGAATATTTGGACACTTTTTGGTGTGGTTTCTCAAAGTATTGCCACCACTGTGCAAATTATGGACAAGTGAAGAGTTATGATATGTATTGACATGTGATAAAAAAATTGTGATGAATGAGTCACTGTGTATATTTCAGAGCATGCCTAAACAGCACATGATGTCACAAAATACAAATGCTTCCAAGTTGTTCGCTATTAAATAGCTTTTTCACTATTATGTACCTTCTGGTTACATCTCATTAACATGCCTCATGAGATTGACTATTAAAATGTATGTTATGGCACAGTGACCACAGGTGGTGGAGGTCGAGGAAGATGGTCAATACCTGTTTTCTCACATTTTTGCTTTGTTGTGTGATGAGCTCTGGCCGCATATGTGTTTTGCTGCCAGTGTACAACTTTGCCAGATCCTGCAGCTGGCTCTTGTCAGTTGTGGTGTTGATGGGCTTCCAAACCAACTTAACTTGTTGCTCTGCACTGTCGTGAAGTGCAGCTAGATTCTTGGCCAAATCTGACTGTCCGCAGATGCTCACTTTGTCCTGCCGCTTACTTGTCAATGCTTCGAGCCAACTACAGTTAGCCACATTTTATAGTGCAAACAGGGGCATGAACTACTTGGGCTGACCAGGGAAGCCAAGTCACTTTTCATTCACAGCAGGAGACTTCCCCAGTAGAATGACTTCCGGCCTGGAAACCGATGGAGGTTCCACTGCAGCACCCCCTTGCTCTATCTCAGTCACTGCTGTATGGAATAGGGAGTTCACTGTGACAAATGTCTGCAGGCGGCTTTATGTGCATGGATTGGAACAATCGCCCATGTGATACAACAGCTTTGGACTTCGGGATTTCTAACAGCTCTGGCATATACTTGGGGTGTGTCATGTCCCCCATAGCAGCCATCACCGCCAACGCTGGATCGTGAGGTAGAAGGGAATGGAAGAGAGTGTCAGAAATTGTCATTTTTAGGATATGTGATCTCATCCCTGGGCTGATTTTAAACTCATCTGAATTCGGCTCTTCTTGAAATCTTCTTGAAATCTTAAGTATATACACATCATAGGCCATGTATTGGGTTTCGTGCATGGCCCCTGGTCCGCACGGCTGGCACGGCTTGGTTATCGCCAGGAAGATACCTGGGATACGTGCAAGATATAAGGCCATAAGGTAACAAAAACAAGTATGCCATTTCTCTTGGTACTGCAGGAACGTCACTGACAGCAGGACCTGCAGTCGGCGATGTAGCCAAGAGACGGTTGTTAGCGACCATGCTACACGTTCGCCTTATATCTGGAAGACGTCCCGGGCAGATTCCATCTGCATAGATCCAGAGCCAGGCATTGAGTCTGACCCATGGCGGATGCCGTGGATATGCTTGATGGAGCCGTTCTCGGACCAGTTTCAACGCAGCCCTGAAACGGTGAAACATCCTGTTTATGGCGATTTCTTAAGATCTCTTGCAGCCCCCTCCCCCCTCCCCCCTCCATTCTTCTTCCCTGTGTCAAGCTAGCTTCAATAGCTTGTGTCAAGCAGGCATGGGAACTGTTGAAGCTAGCTCGTGTCGAGCCAGCTCCAATAGCTCTCATGAATGACAAGGTGTACGTCAGTAATACACCGGAGCTAAAAGTAATGTCTCTGTTCAAAACTA